ACAAAAATTTCTTTTCGCTGAAGTAATTTAATACGAGTATTCAAGCTGCCACTCACTTTTCTTTTTGAATATTGGATTTAAGCAAAGAGAAATGTTTATTTATCATAAACAATATTTTTGACAGAAGTAAAATACATTTTGAATTGAATAAGTGACATACATTCTTCTTCTTGTGTCAATCAATTTAATTAATTTTTTTTGACACTTTGTATAAATAATTATTTATATTCTTGAATAGAGAATTGAATAACTTTTAACCGACCCCTATTCTTATTTTAAAAACTCATTGATTACGTCATCACGCCCACAAACTAACGAATTTATTCCTTTCATTTGCACCATACTGTATAGTTATGTATATTAAATTGTATAAAGCAATTCTCAAACAAATAGTTTTACAATAGGTTACATAAACATCGCACATATATTGGTTCTGTTTAAATCATGGTATCCTACCACGGAACAGCACCTTCTTGATTAAAGTACTCACTGAACTTATCCCTTACTGTTTTGGCACTAAGTAATGTTTGTCCTTTGATCCCGCGCTGTAGGTTATGGACCATTTCGGGATCACATCGTTCACCCAACTGTATTTCGTTGTTGTCGACGTTCTCGCTGTCAAGAGTTCCTGGATGACTGTAGTAATCTGTGGAATTTTTACGTAAAAAGTTACGCACAGCCATTCAAGCCAAAACCACTCTCTCAATATTTTCCACCTTTAAATTTATGGGTGTGCGAAAGAAACATAATCTGAATGCTAAAATTCCAAATGAGTTCTCAACTACTACATGTCGCGCTCTTGATAAGCGGTAGTTGAAAATCCTTCTATTCCTATTAAGTGACTCTCGGTTGTACGGTTTGAGGAGATCCGGCCGCATTGCGAAAGCCTCATCACCCACAAACATATATTCAAGTACCCGATCCGAATTCAAAAGTTTAGCTGGTGCAGGAATTTTCAGTTCATTGAACAATCTGAATATGTTTTCCATCACTGCGCCCAAACATGTGGGGAAACTGTCATCTCTTTCAAAGCCAGATGCGATGAATACCCACTCCGTTGAGTTTTTTGGAAACTAAAAAAAAGATCAATTATTACCTAAATGTACAGAGCGGCTACAAGTTAATTATATCTATTTTATCTATTTTATTTTTGTAAGAAACCAAATCTAACTAGATTTTTTTATTTATTTATTTGATTTTGTTAGAAACCAATTTTGTATATATAGAATACTATATAGAATTTTGTATTTATTTTTTCTCTTTTGACTTTTGTTCCAGAGTGAAACCCAAGAAGGGACAAGTGATGAGAAGCATGATAACATTGCATCTACTTCAGGAGATAACACAAGTAGCCTAATTGGAACAACTCCATCATTAAAACGTACGCGAACCGTATCGCGGAAGAAACAGCTAAGATGAACGGATAAGGAAGTACTGCAAATTTTGTCAAAGGCTGGACAAAAATTGGATTCCATCACCACCAGCGATACGTTTGACACATATGGAAAACACATCGCAGATCGTCTACGGCAAATGAAACCGGGCCAAGTAAAATTCGTCCAAAAACTTATTAGTGACGTACTATTCGAAGGAGAAATGGAATCTCTTAATGCAAACTGCAAGTTGAAAGTTACAAGACAGGAGAAATACAGTCATTAACATCATCTGTGGGGAATCCTATCCACCTCATTATGGACAAACAATCTGGCCTCAGTTTCTTACAACTCCAACAACAAGTTGCGCACCAACCTGGTATGGAACAACTTGCACATCTACCTGGCATAAAAGGCGTTCCTCAGCCTGTACCAGTACTGACAGAAATAGGAAAGCCAGTTACCACTTCTTCGTTAGTCGATTACGTCACAACTTCTTCTGATTCAAGTCGCTAATTGAAATTTTTCTTAGTAGTAACATTTTTTATGATTAAAGTAGTTTTCTTATGTAATGTTAAGTAAAGTTTTTTTTTAAAGTCTTTAAAGAGAAAAAAATCTAACGTCTTATTTTTATTCTTTTTGGTATTAAAATTAAAGAAAAACATTTTTTTTAAACTCTACCCTTTATAACTAATAAACAAATAAATCTTCAAAGGTCATTTTAGTAAAAACCTCCTTCCTTACTATATTTAACAATAACAATTATTATGTACTTACTTTTAAGTAGTTCTGTTTTAAAACCAAGTAGATTGCATTACAGGTTTCAGGAATTATTTGGCTTAACGCTGGTTTGGATATTATGGTTGTGAACTCCAAGTCCTTGAGGCTGCGTCCTGTTGCAAGATATCTGAGAGTTGCTGTGAGTCTTTCATGGGGTGTAATGGCTTTTCTCATGCAGGTGTCTTGTTTCAATATGTATGGTGTTACCAACTCTAGCAATTGACAATAGGCTGAGGTGTCCATTCGCAAATAATTGCGCCAGTCATCTGGTTCGCCTCTCAGTTCTTTTAGTAACGAGACGTGGGAATACTGGCGTCTTTTCAGAAGCCACTCTCTTGACCATCTAGTCTTTTCCCTCTTCATCCCCTTTTTCCTCAGTCGTAGTATCGTTATAGTTGAAAAAATAAAAGAAAGCAGCCGTGTTTCCTCCATAAAAAAAATAACACTAACAAACTTCACACAACTCAAGACTCTGAATTAGAAATGAGGTAGAAAACGGAAGGAAAAACGTAGTGTGTATACACTGGACAAAACGTACATTTTGTCGTACGTTTTATATGACCCACAAAATGTACAATAAGACGTAGTGTGAAAACGGGCCTTAACAAATACAATCCAACGTCACGCTACCGTTTTAGACAAGATACGACAAGTCTAGCCCGTGTATCCGTACTTATACACGCGGTGTAGAATAATAAAATGCTTTTCCAGACCACGTGTATATTTTTCGTACACTAGTTAAACTACAAAAAATATAATTAAATTATTTAAGCAGTGTATCTAAGGTTAGTTGATAAATAATTTTAAATACATTTTCATAAAAAAAATAGAGTGTGCGCACAGGACCCTTATGGGGAATTGGTGTGGCAGGCGAAAACACACGAAAACACGAAAGTGTTAAATCAAAGTGTTTTATGCTCTACTTTACATTCTCCGCTTCGATGTTTATTGCAGAGATTTCCAGTTTTATTTTCAAGGACGTTTAGGTCGTTCTAGGATTTCAGCTTATCTGCTCATCAATAATTTGTTGAACCCGGAAGTGGTTCCGTAGTAAGAGCTCTAGGTTTTCTTTTTAGGTTCGGCAAAGATGCCATCAGGTTTTAAGTAGGTCTAGTCCCTGTGCCGGATCCTTTAAAAGAATATTGTGGATTCTAGTGCTTCCTTGTATTGAAAATAACCGATTTATGACGAGGTAAATGTTAAAATCCTAAAGTAGGTTTTAGTCAAAATACTAAATAAATACCACGCAAGAATGTACAATAATTACCACAGTATACAACAATTAATAAGTATACTAAGTCACGTTTTAAGATATTTTAGCGAAGAATACTTAGCCGAATATACAGCAGCATAGACAAAACCATATTTTGTAAATATTTTCAAATATACAGAGCCACTTATATTAATAGGGTGTAACCAACGCGTCTTTTTCTTATGGAACATCCTGTATATTTTGAAGTTATACTTCCATACGCGCGGTCGACGTTGGAAATTTGCACGGGAGTGAATCAGTGAAATCATTACATATGTATGATATGAGTAAGAGAGAGACAGAAGATATATTGTAAAATATATAATAATATTATTATTTATGTGATATGTTTGTATTATTTATTAAATGTGTCAAATTATTTTAAGCTTTTGTATTTCAAAATAATAATTACAATAAATCACTGTATGACCGAGAACTGTCTGTGTTTGGTTTATATGCTGGTATATGTGAGTTCGAATCCCAATATGAATTTCCTTTTGTATTTTGAAATATTTAAAAACCCCACGTTAATCTTATTAAATATATTTTATGTAATATACGCAAAAATGCTAAATTTTAAAATAAAATAAATATTTACAACATAATCCGAGTTGTTGGTTTTTTATTTTTATCTTCCACAAAAATTTTTAGACTAACGAGTTGTTGTTTTTATTTATCTTCACAAAATTTTGGCATACTTATACGCGCGTTCGACGTTGGAAATTTGTATGTATTCGTATATATTGAGTGAATCGGCAAAATCATTACATATGTAAGATATAGGTAAGAGAGAGACAGAAGATATATTTTCTTTCTCTTTCTCTCTCGAGAATAAAAATGTTCCTTTTGTAAATATATTTAATATTTATTAATATTATATTATTTTTTTTCAATATATTATCATGGTAAATTAAACATATGCATAAGTAAGTTATATTATATATATAATATATATATATATATATATATATATATATATATATATGTATATATTGTCATTTTTAAATACTTATGAATATTGCATTTTAATTTGTATTGTATTATTATATTGAATTATGTTGCAGTGTATTGTATTGTATTTTTATATTAATAACAAAATAAACAATGAATTTTACTGCAGAGTATGTGAAATTTTTCTTTGCATTCAACTCCTTTTATACATATATGAAAATAAAAATATATATTTTCATTAAAATATTGATTCAATCCTTCATTTACCATACTCCTATTACAGGTCAAATGTTTATATACAGCAAACGATGCACCATATACCTGTATACCTAATTCTTTTTCTCTTTCTGCCCTCTCTTACCTCTAGCATGTGCATCTATGTAATGATTGTGCAAATTGACTCCCATATAAATTTGTAACGACGAACGCGTGTATAGAAGTATAACTCTACCGGCAGTCCCACTGGACTGCCACACCCGTTTTTTTTTTCATTTTTGGACTATACCCGATGTTCTCACTTTTTCAATACTAGTACTAATAATTTTTTTTGGACGAACATAGTCTCTATTCTTTACTATCTAAATTTCTGCATCCTTAACATATATATTAATTGATTTCATATGTTTGTCTTTACTGGGTTTTAGGCACAAGAAATTGCGGGTATTAAAATTTTTCATATATCAGGTGGTTTAAGCTTTTCGTCAAGATTCTTTTTTAATGATACACTTATAGAAGCAACAGGCATTGATCCAACTAAAATTTTTAAAAGAAGATTATGGCTCGAAAAGAAAAGTCTCCCACCAGAGGAGCAAGAATTTGAATATCAGTGGATAGTCGTTGATTTGTCCAGAGTAACGTTTATTGATCCATCTGCTGTAGCGTCGCTGAGAACTTTGCAAGAAGATTATGCCAAGCTAAATATAACAATATTACTTGTTATAATTTCAGGTATATTAAATTACTTACTTTCAGTTATTTTTAAACCATTTAGTAAACTAGAAAATAGCAAATAACCTTCTTATTTTCTTCTTGTAATAATTTTTTTGTTCTAGTGATTCAGTTATCTGTTTTCGTAACTGTATGGTTTTTTTTTTCGATCTGCACTATTGTCTCTTGGTGCCATTTATAAACATTTTGTTGTCCTCTTTCAATATTTTCTTGAAATATTTATATATAATAAGCAAATTTATCGATTTTGAATTGTAGTACAATGGTTCAAATAACATACCTTGACTCAATCTTACGCAGGCTCTCTTTTCGTGGTTCAGTATCTCTGCTGTTATATTTACAAGTAAGAGGACCATAAGGAATAATAAAGTACAAATATCCAATATCAATTTCATCAATATTGTATAGATAAAAAAAATCAATAGAAAATGTCATATGCAAAATTCCTCAATATAACATCAGCAACAAAAATTCATATACCTGATATAAATTGGATAAAATTATATCCCTGGCATGTTTTACAAATTGTAGGAGCAAATGAAAATTGTTTCTCTATAACTATTTCTCCATAACTATTAGTAAAAACCAAATTTATCTCTCTAAAATTGTCCTTTTTGAGGAATGTAAGATAAAAGTAGAACTTGAAAATTAGATCATCTTGTTCTTCTGGAGTCGGGTTTCTCCTGGTTGAGTGACCTCTCCTCCTGGTTAGAACTTTGCCCAAAGAAAGTATTTTTAATGGACAAAAATAAAAAAGAAACTCTGTCAATCTGGTTCTGTTTCCAATCACTTCAAAATCTGGTAGCCCCTCAAAAAGATCTCTCTAGCCTCACCTAAATAATTAGTATTGAATAAAAACTTATAATTGTTTGGAAGCTCTCTGCTTTTATACTGCTTAGCTGCAAAATCACTTACTTCACGGCTTACACTACTACACTACTTATTAAAATATCCGAAGAATGAATGACATAACTAATGACCGTAAGTAAGATAAAGCACCTTGATAACAGGGTTTAATAGTTATTATTAAATATCTATAATATATATACATATATATATACCATGCGGTCCATATGTATGGAATAAATTCATTTTTAGCTTTATTATGTACTATGTGAAAAAAACCTTAAACAGGTCGATTTTTATTTTTAAATTGACAATTTACAGTATAAAAATATTATACCCTTCTAGCACCCCCTTTGAATTATAAGCACCCCCTCGAAAATTTTAAATGACAAAGGGGGTCGTGTGACACTTTGTTAGAAAGGGATTTTAGTCCTCTCTTCAGCAATATAATTTTTTTTTTAATTTGTGCCATTATAACTGAGAAAATTGATTTTTAAGATGTAAAATTTTGATAATGTCTCTATCACAAAACAGTAGGTTAAATGAAGATATAAATATCATAATATTTAGAATGTATTTTTCAATATAATTTACAATTAAATTAAGTGTTCAAAATGACCACCATTCACTTCTTGACAATAACCGATGCGATTTTGGAATTCTCGTACAACATTTTGTACGACCTCGGGGGTTATTTTGTTTATTTCTTCCGTTATCCTAACTTTTAAATCAGCAATACTGTTTGGTCTATTAAAATATACTTTAGATTTTAAATATCCCCATAAAAAGTAATCGAGAGGAGTCAAATCTGGGGATCTAGCCGGCCATTCGATCGTTCCACGTCTTCCAATCCACCTATTGGGAAAAACCTCGTTTAAATAATTTCTAACTATACGTGCAAAATGCGGTGGAGCTCCGTCTTGTTGGTAGTAAATAGATCGATCTATTTCATTTGGATAATCACCATCTGGAAAAGATCTTCGTAATGTAGGCACTAAAAAGTTAATCAAAAAATCTAGATAAACCTCACCATCAACTGTGCCCTCAAAAAAATAAGGACCAATAATTTTATTGTTAATAATACCAGCCCAAACGTTAACTTTTTTAGGATATTGCGTGTGACTCTCACACACCCAGTGAGGATTTTCTCTGCTCCAATATCTACAGTTCTGTTTGTTAACCGTTCCGTTTAAATGAAACGTCGCTTCATCAGAAAACATTATTTTGTTTATGAACTGCAAATCCGCGTTCATTCTGTCCATCATTATTTCACAGAATTCTTGCCTTCTATCAGGATCATCTTCATTTAACTCCTGAACCAACTGAAGTTTGTAAGGGTGATATTTTTCTTTGTGCAAAATTCTCAAAATAGATGATTTACTTACATCATTGACGGCGGCAAGTTCTCGAGTTGTCTTATGCGGATTTTCCTCAATCTCTAGAAGTACATCTAACTTTTTTTCATCAGTAAATTTAATAGTTCTACCTGGTTTGTCAATATTTTTTACATGTCCAGAATAACGAAACTTCTTTTCAATTTTGCTAACTGTAGACTGTGAAACTTGTTGACCAGGGTATTTATCATTAAACATTTCACAAACCTCCTTTTGAGTTCTTGTTTTGTTACCACAACCAATCATAATTAAAATGTCTATTCTTTGAGTCTCTGACAAATGAGCCATAATTAAATTTAATCCGCGCAAAAATATTTTACTAACTTTAAATACCTAGATGACAGCAGCCTACTCGATTCATATCAATAGTTTATTTGGCTTTTTAACTAATATTTTATTATCTTCAAAGTTTTTTCCCTAATTTTTAGCAAAACAGATACGAAAATACCTGATTATTTTTAATTTATATTTTAATAGACCAGGCAACACTGCTGATTTAAAAGTTAGAATAACGGAAGAAATTAACAAAATAACCCCCGAAGACATACAAAATGTTGTACGAGAATTCCAAAATCACCTCGGATATTGTCAAGAAGTGAATAATGGTAGTCAAGTTGAACATTTAATTGAAATGTAAAAATCAATTTTCTCAGTTATGATTGCACAAATAAAAAAAAACTTTATATTGCTGAACAGAGGACTAAAATCCCTTTCTAACAAAGTGTCACACGACCCCCTTTGTCATTTAAAATTTTCGAGGGGGTGCTTATAATTCAAAGGGGGTGCTAGAAGGGTATAATATTTTTATACTGTAAATTGTCAATTTAAAAATAAAAATCGACCTGTTTAAGGTTTTTTTCACATAGTACATAATAACGCTAAAAATGAATTTATTCCATACATATGGACCACATGGTATATATATATATATATATATATATATATTATATTAATATATATATATATATATATATATATATATATAATATATATATATATATAATAGTATATATAAGATATATATAAAGTAGTTAGGATTATTGACTGACACGTTATGTAAACTAAAGTTTTATTTTGAGGATGCAGTCATTTAAGTAGGGCAGGATAAGTAAAACTCTTTGTTCTTAAATCAAGCTTTCGCAAAATTTATTTGCTTCATCAGGATATGCTAAAATATGTTATGGTAAATACAATGAAATTAGAATTAAGAAAAACATTGTATAAAACTATATAAAAACTTACAACATGAGGTTAAACCATTAAATTATTAAATTCACAAAACATTATTAATTTTTCCTAAATTATATTTTTATGCAAGTACAATATTTTAATTTTGAATATATTATGACATTGATTAATAATGATGTTTGATATATGTCAGAAAGACACTCGTGTCTGTTTTTAATTATTGATAATTAGCTCTAGATTGTTATTAATTATAATTACGTAAGCATAATAACAATCTAGAGCTAATTATCAATAATAAAAACAGACACGAGTGTCTTTCTGACATATATCAAACATCATTATTAATCAATGTCATAATATATTCAAAATTAAAATATTGTACTTGCATAAAAATATATTTAGGAAAAATTAATAATGTTTTGTGAATTTAATAATTTAATGGTTTAACCTCATGTTGTAAGTTTTTATATAGTTTTATACAATGTTTTTCTTAATTCTAATTTCATTGTATTTACCATAACATATTTTAGCATATCCTGATGAAGCAAATAAATTTTGCGAAAGCTTGATTTAAGAACAAAGAGTTTTACTTATCCTGCCCTACTTAAATGACTGCATCCTCAAAATAAAACTTTAGTTATATACTATATATATATATATATATATATATAAATATATATATATATATATATATATTGTTATGATATGTAAAATCAAGAAACAATATTGGTTTGCTTAAAATATTCAAAGTTCCAAAAAATTAAAATAATTCAGATAAGTAGGATAATAACCAACAAACATTTCGAAGAAGGAAAGTCTTTAAATTTTTGGATTACCTGTATTGAACAAAACGTAAGATATGCATAAATTATTTTCTTTGTTATAATATACTTGAGTGACCCGCATAATTTTAAGTGAAATCCATAGACAATTGAAGCGGTTTTTCCAAATAAATGTTGTGCAGTAATTAGGACAATAGAATAGATTTTAGAAAGATATGTTTTTGTTAGTTCTTAGGAATTGGTAGGAAAAGATTATTTTGTAAATAGTTTTAGGAAATTTTATAATTGTAGGTAAAAATTTGTGTGTTATCGAAATGAAGAAATGGGAGATGTATGAAGCGTTTTGATTGGATGAGATTGAAAAAGGTGGGATGATTGGTTTAAGAATAAGACTTTAGTTAGTTTTTGAAAAAAAAAGATAGTCAGTTGGTTTTCAAGGGTACAAGGCGAACGGCCGTTGTTCTCGGGTAGTTTCCCAGAGGTAGGAAGCAGTAGCAGTGAAAGTTTGTGAGTTTTCGTGTAGTTAGTGTCTCTGACAGAAGCTGATCCAGTAAAAGATTGTAAGTTATATTTTCTACTTATATTCCAAGAGTCACTGTTCAGGCCAACGAGAGATTCAGTTTATCGTAAAGAAAAGATATTCCAAGAGTCATATTTCACTCAGGCCAACGAGAGATTCAGTTTATTGAGAGGAGAAGAAGCTAGCATGATTTGAACGATTCGTGCATTTGAAGGAGATCATTAAGGACGATAAACTTGCAATAATTTGTTGTAAGATTGCTGATTACCTAGGGAGCTGCTAAGAATAGATAGTGTAGACTACAAAGAACAAGGATTTGGACCACTCATCATCACAGAGAGATAGTTTTGTTTTTTCTGCAGTTTTTCTTTCATTGATAACACAATTTTTTACAATTACTTTGGAAAAGATATAAATATTTTGATTAGGAGATTTAGAATAATAATTGGGATTTTGAGTTTTTTTACTAATATTGTTTGTACCATTTATTTTGAAGGTTCACGTACGTAGAACAAATTTTGAGAATCTTATTTCATTATTTATTTCAATATATAATGTTAGATCATATATGTTTTTTATTATTCCGGTATTCTTTGGACCTTACCTTTCACATAGTAATAGCATAGATATTGAAGCACGAATAGAACCCTGAGATAAGAGAATTATAAAGTGTGATAGAATCATAGTCATACCATTTAAATAATTTTAATTAATTAATTAATTAATTAGCTAATTCATTGATTGGCGCACTAAGTGCACAATAATATATATATTTATATATATATATATATATATATATAATAATATATAATATATATATATATATATATATATTAATATATATATAATATATCAAAAGATTAAACACTTACAACAAATAAACGAAAAAAGTTGTCAAAATGAGATGGAAAAAGAACTTTGACAGTTTATTAAATAAATAATGTGACAGACATCCCGTTGAGTTAACCGAGACAGTAACAGCAATGGTCACCAAAATTGCAAACGTAGAAGTAGTTCAAGCATTTTAAAAAATAATGAAAGAAAAATCAGTTGGACCAGATGGTATTCTTGGAGAAGTGTCGAGAGCATTAGAAGAGACAGGAACATGGTGGTTAACAGGTCAACATTTAATAGAATTCTAGAAGTTCCACAAATGCCAGATGACTGTAGAAACAGTATATTAGTACCTATTTACAAAAATAAGAAAGATTTATGAAATGTACATACTACAGGGCCATAAAACTAAAACCTTGAAAATATGGGAGAGAGAAATTGATAGAAGGATACGAGAAAAAATCAAAATATCTGATAATCATTTTGGCTTTATGCTAGACAGGTCCACAACAGATGCAATTTTCATTATAAGACAGTTGATGGAAAAATAGAGAATTAAGAAGCAAACGCGTAAATTGTATTCATTGATCTTGAGAAAGCATATGATAGAGTTCCTCGAGAGATTTTGTGGTGGAAACTCAATGAGAAAGGAGTCCCCGGTGAATATGAAAATATTATAAGAGACATATATGAGGAAGTATCAACTAGTGTTAGGACAGGTGTGGGAGAGACTGGTAAATTTCATGTGAAAGTAGGATTGTACCAAGGCTGGTGCTTCGTCCTTATTTCTTCTCAATAATTTTGGATCAGACAACAGCGAAACTTCAGGGTAACATTCTTTGGTGTACGCTGATAATGTAGTGTTAGTAGGAAATAGTGAAAACGACTTGAAAACAAAAACTGGAAAAGTGGAGATAGGCGGAGGTGGAGTCTAAGGGTGGCACCAAATAAAAGAGGGTTGCCAAAATGAACATGAGCATAGGTGGAATTGCTAATTTAAGGGATCCTGAAAGGAGTAGGAGAGGAAGATAAAAAAACTGGGGGGAGACAGGACATATCGGTAAATGGGATTGATATTGATATGATATGACCCAAGAAAGCAACTTATGAAGAAATGTAATTAGGGAAACTGACCCCGCATAAGGATAGAGGCAAAGAGAATGATGATGCCATAAGTAAGATAAGTAAATACGAGTACATAATCATTAAAATTATGTGGCAGTGCCGCAGAGAAATCCAAATTTGCAAAATGGCTCACGATCAACTCACGGCAGACCGATCTACCGAAACCGCTATTGCAACATTGCCAATTTTAATAGCACGATTTGTGAAGTAGATATGGGATACCCAACTAAGTAAGAGTTAACTTAGTTGGGTATCAAAAAATGTATATATTTAAATTTTTGATTAAGAAAATATTATATGTAATACTGGAAGACTTGTATAATAATGTAATAATGTATTATTATAACTAATTCTAGGTCCTGTATTTGAAACATTTGTTAGATATGATATAGTGGAAAAGAAAGAACCAATTTTTATGATTTTCCCCACAGTCCATGATGCAGTGCTTCATGCTCTCGGAACTGGTATACTTAACAGGCCCGCAACAGAACCGTTTAAACGAGAAGAGGAAGTTAAACTTGGTAGATAAATCTTAAATGATATTTGTATCGTTCATTCATATGTAGATATAAATTTATTATAACTAAATAATATATATATTAAAATGGTTCAATTATACTCTTAGCTCTACAGCTTCAAATGGAATTTACTTGCTCTAGGTTAGTAGACAATAAATATATAAAATGTTCCTTATTTGTGTAATTTAAATATTTTTATTTATAAATTCGCATCAACCTGCAGGTTATTAGCGAGAAGCAAATCTTTACAATATTAAATATTAGATATGTACGAAACTAATAGCCTTTAAGTAATTTAGCACAGTGTTTCCCAAAGTTTTTTGGTCGAAGAACACTATTTAGGACAGAAATTCTGTAGCGAGCACTTAAAGTTGACACCATCTATCTATCGTTCATCGGCAAATTAAAATAAAAATAACTTCCAGACCATCTTTTACCACCTTTAGTCCAGAAAAATTAATATATGCATTTAATATATTTTTTACCACCAAAAATGAGATGTTTTAACCAAATAATGTTTCAAAATATAATGTGCAGAATAATTTTGAATTACGTTCCGGTAATGAACTTGCTTTTTTGTCCTTAAAAGTAGAAACAAGTTTCAATTATATTGCTTAATATTTCATCTAAATATAATCGTCTAACAATTTTAACTGTACTAATGCCCAAGTATCAATTTTCAAGTTTTAAACCGATTGATTTACGATGAGTAATCCGGTTGTAAAAATACCGGCATGTGTTTGTATCTTTGCAACTAGCCTGTTTATAGATAGATGTGCATTGTGCATTGCTTTAATTTTAAGTTGTGATGAAATTTTGTTGTGGGTAGTTATAATAATTGTAGTATTTTTTGGTGTTTTTTTTTAACTGCCTATTTGTGTATAAAGAAAATGTATGTTTAGACCATGGGAAAAATCACCTACAGTTTTTCGTGCATGGGAGCAAGAGAACCCAAGCAGTAGTAGAGAAAGTGTAGTAGTGAACAATATTTTAAGTGTAAGTGATACAAAAAACAATGACACTGACACTGACACAACAAAAAATAGTTTTCCAAAATTTGACACGAAACCCAGACAGCACATATACGTCCCATGGACGTCCGAAGGATGTACCTCATTAAATGTCCGGGCATCCGTTTACATAATTTGGACGTCCCCGGGACGTCCAATAAGACCTAAATGTTACCAAAAAGTACGACCCCTGGACGTCCCAGGGATGTTCATGGGGACGTACATAGTGCATATACAGAACTTAATACAGACTTATATAGAACCTAAGAAGGATGTATTGGGGACATCCATTGTACGTCCAGATAGACTAATACAGGACCTAAATGAGGATGTAGATAGGACCTAAAGGAAACTTACAAAAAACTAATAAAATGAAAAGCAAAAATAAATGGGATTTTTATTTATTTTTAAGTACATTACTCATACTTACTTTACGAATGTAGCAACTCACACCACAACTACAAAAATTACCTATAAAATTCCTATATACCTACTTAATGTCTATAATAATAAATTACCAAACTATAAACTAGTATCGAAAGCAATAAACTAATTCTAATTACAACTACAACCACAATGATTATAATTCGAGAAATAAAAGATTCCGAAAATGCTACCTAAAAATAAAAATGTGTTAAAAAGAAACATAAATGCAATAAGATAAATAGAAGCGTCGTTAAAACATAATCACATTCTTCTTTCATCTTCTAATTTTTATATTTCAGTTCCACTACAGAACAAAATTTTAAAGATACAGCTCTGCTATAGGATAAGGATTTTTCTCTAAAGGGGGCCTCTGTCTTTCTTAATATAAATTAATGATATTTAAAACTAAATATAACTTTTTAAAATAAAGTTTAGTAGGAAGATATTATATTTTGTAAAAAATATGCTTAAGTAAAAAAATGACACAGTTAACATCTAGAAAACATCCCTAATGGGACGTCCCTCGGACGACCTTATGGGACGTCCCTGGTATGTCCAACTAGAAATATCCCTTTGACGTCCCTCGGACGTCTAAAAGAAGTCCCGGGACGTTTGGATCTTAAAATTGCATAAAATAGACGTCCCAGGGATGTCTTGTGCTGTCTGGTCGATTTAATTCGATATCACCTATCAGAGATTGTAACATTTTTTTATTATTAAATTATTAATTATTTTTAATTTCTTTTACCCCCGTGCGGTACGCCGATGATTAGGAATTCCCGTGTTTACGATAAGAAAATAATATTGGATCTACTAAATTATAATGGACTTACTAAAGGTAGTTAATCCTTTCCCTCTTAATACTCAGTTTGAAAAGATCTAATGCTTTTGGGTATGCAGGTTCTTTTACATAAATTGATAATTTTCGCCGAAGGCCCGTATCTTTTGACAATAACTTAATCCCAAGTATTGTCTGCTTCTCATGTCCAATTGTTGGTACCGGTAACTCAAAACTTTCGGAATTTTTACTTCCTCAGAATTACCTACAACTGTCCGATGATTTTAAGTGGGGGATATACCTTCTTCTTCTTTTTTCTTAAATAGTTGGTGAAATTTTTAGTGGAACCAACTGACTTCTGGGTGGGCTCTCGTTGAGCACAGGTCGATTATCTCGTGAGACTTCTCGGTGGGCTCTCGTTGAGCACAGGTCGATTATCTCGTGAGACTTCTCGGTGGCCTCTCGTTGAGTGTGGTCGCTTGTCTGAAATTATCGTCTCAGTGAATTATTTTCTAAGTGTGTATACACTCTATATTTCAGTTTTCTTGTCTTAGACTATATTAAGTTATATATAGTTCTACACTACCTTTAATGGTACCTAATTAAATTCAGTGTTGAATACCAGTACAATATATTAGATTCAGTGAATTAAGCTGCCGTCATCAGGAATTATGTAAGTTACCATAATCTTTATCTGCAAATTATCTGGGCGAGTAATATGGTATATTATCATATCACCTGCCATTATCTGGACGTATCACCCATCATTCATCCATATCTTCATCTGTAGATTGCCGATTTTTATATTTAATTTAAAGAACAATTCAAGAACTTTCCATAAAATAATAACTATGAAACGTCTCAGTTTAGCATTAATTAATAGTGCGAGATAGTAACCCACCTAGCCAAGTGCGGTTAGGCTAGTTAATGTTTTCAACTCTGTAACCTGTTTGTTTTTTTGTAAATTTTTTTTTGAGACGATTCAGTGAATTAAGCTGCCGTCATCAGGAATTATGTAAGTTACCATAATCTTTATCTGCAAATTATCTGGGCGAGTAATATGGTATATATCATATCACCTGCCATTATCTGGACGTATCACCCATCATTCATCCATATCTTCATCTGTAGATTGCCGATTTTTATATTTAATTTAAAGAACAATTCAAGAACTTTCCATAAATAATAACTATGAACGTCTCAGTTTAGCATTAATTAATAGTGCGAGATAGTAACCCACCTAGCCAAGTGCGGTTAGGCTAGTTAATGTTTTCAACTCTGTAACCTGTTTGTTTTTTTTTTGTAAATTTAGAGTTAGAGAAATTTTTGCTATCTTTTGTATTTGCTATAATTTTTGCTCATTATCTTTCCTATAATATCTCGAGATACGCCAAACTATATTTGTATATGATTGCCTTATATATCTTGGTAAAGGTATTTTTTTATTATATTATTGCTTAATTTTATACATATATAACACCATTTCATAGTTGTGTATTTTTATTACTTGTGTTGCATTTAGCAGCATCATAATTTTGTGTTTAATATATTGTTAATGTTTTATGCATGTATTTTATTTGTCGGCTCCTAACAAGTTCCCTGATAAAATAGTAGCTCTAAATATTTGCTTAGTATATTAATTTATTACTATACCTTTGACCAGTAGAAAGATCAGGCTGATTAAGTTTCGTGGGTAAGTGTAATACCTAATATATTTATTATTTGTTTATATATTGTGTTGACCAAATTTAGTTGATAATTAACTGTTGGTATCTTTCCTTGGGTTTGATCTCTGATCTCTGAAGGATATCTTTCCTTATCTCTTTTCTTTTCTAAGGTTTCTTAATTTTCTCCTTAACCCCAAAAAATTGAGTGGCGCCCTGTTTCTATCTTCTCTTATCTTTGGTAATTTTACCCATCTATCTTTTTGTTTATTTCTATATCTTTTCTAATATCTCTTATCCTATCTTTACTTATTTCGTCCGCTGGACCCAATCCCGGTTCCAAAAGCTAGTTTCGAACCCACGACTCGCTCTCCACCAACCATCTGGCTGCCGTCCGCAGTGTCTCCATTGGTTATCTTTCTAGCACTATCCAAAAAAGATTTCTGAGGTTACAAGATTACAAGTGCCGACTGGAAAAAAAGCAGTAAACCATGTAGTGAAAGTAGAAAATGCATACAGAAGACTAGGACAATTATTTTCAAACAGTGGGCAACTTATTATTAATCTGGTGGATAGTGACGATGATGAGAGCTCATGTACAGGAAAAATATTTTAGACAAGGTACGCTAATATGATGATTATTTCAGTTAAAACAACTCAGTTTTTTATTATAAATTGCTAACTTTGTTTAAAACAATATTTTCTTAAATGTAAAATGCTGTTCCACAGTTTCGTCTATGTACGTCATCGTTAAATCCTAATAGGGCTATTATTAACCACTAATTAATAACTTAATAATTATTAGGATATTAACCATTACATTTTCAAATCCCTTTATTTAATTTTTTTTTCAATCGCAAACATAAGAAACTTAATAACATATAATGAAAAACAAAAATAAAATGAACGCAGACACACACAGATTCTATTTCTAAAATCTTAAAAAAAGTAATGTCTTCATTTTAATGTGAAGAATGTTTATCTGACAAAATTTTAAATTCGTCATTGAGTTGACACCAAAAATCTACTTACGATCTACTTTAAAAATGTTTTTTATCGCTGAATCTAATATTAAATCTATCAGGCATTCATACTGCTGAGATGTTAAAGAAGCTGGTTTTTTTTAACATTGCCAGGTATGAGTTTGCTACCCTGAAGTTTTCTTAAATTTTGTCGTGAAATTTCCCCAAGAAAATAATTATGGAAGTTTTCAAGTAAATTAGCAAATGATTGTGGAACTCGTTAAATACAGTTTCAGGTATGTCCGATTCCAGTTCTTCTCTAAATTCTGTGATCTAGTGGAAAGATATCCAGATTTTTATTTTTCACCGATTCTGTCCAAAACACTAATTTCTTCTTATATGCTTGTATTTTATCATTGTCGTTAAAGACAGTTATTGTCTTTCCTTGAAGTGAAAGACTCACTTGACCTTATTTAAAAATATCTGTTAAATATGCCAATTTAACCCTTTCAGTCATGCTGGGTATAATTGTAAACCATTAATTTGAATGCATATATTTAATTCTACAGGAATCTGCAACTTAGGCAAGTTTATCGAAATCTATATTCTATAAGTACTATACTTCTGCATTTTGTACCTAGATGGCGCATGGATGGTTTTGTGCTATAAGAAAATTAATGTCAAAAGCAATATGTCGGAAATTGCACTGTTCATAAGAGGTAAGTGTACTTGTTTCTTCAAATATTAGTTTGAATAAAGTCAATCGCCGTTTATATTCAGTGCAATGTTGAAGTAGTATATTCTTACTTTGAATATATTTTAGATTTTTTTCAAATATAGAAGTGTGCTTCAAATTCGATGGGCACAATTGTAGCCAAAATGACTCAGTGTTATTTTTTGTTTCAGAGTAAAATGCCTCCAAAAAAAGTATTTAACTGAGAAGGAACTCCTGGAAGAGCTGGAAAAACTGTCCGACATAGAAGGATTTGTTAGTGATGACGACAGTGACTGCGAAGAAAAAATACAAGTAAGACAGAGAGTTGGACATATGATAGATGATGTCTCAGAAAATCAAAACGAATTGGAGGACGAGGAAGAGGATAATGAGGTAGAAAGAGAGGATGATGATGAACAGGGCGAAAACGATGGTAACTATGATAACTTCATTACTCTGAAAAAAAAATGTAAAATGGTTACAGAATGTTCAATATCTAACACGACAATTACCTAATAAAATAACACAGATTTCTAATGAAAACTGTTCTGAGGAATATCCAGTTACATATTTTATGAGATATTTTCCCGAAAGTATATTCGAAAATTTCGTTCAATATACGAATATGTATGCTTTGCAAACTGGAAATGAGAAATTTGTACCGTGTAATCTACAAGAACTAAAATCATTTTTTGGCCTTAGTATTCTAACAGGCTGTCTAAAATTTCCAAGACTGCGAATGTATTGGGACAGATCTTTAAAAATTGATATTTTTTCGGACACAATGACATTGAATCGTTATTTCAAACTTCGCACGCACATACATTGTGTTGACAATCTGGAAACCAGACAGAGCGACGACAAACTGTGGAAAGTTCGACCAGTTTTTGAATCAGTCCTAAAGAGATGTAGAGAACTGCATATAGAAACAAATATTTGCATAGACGAACAAATCATGCCTTTCAAAGGGAGATTGTCTATAAAACAATACATCAAAAATAAGCCTAATCCATGGGGAGTGAAACTGTATTTATTAGGTGGTGAAAGTGGACTAATTTACAATTTTCTAATCTATCAAGGTAGTACCACAGAAATAGAACCTTCCAATTTGAAATATGGACAAGGTGCAGCTATCGTATTGCAATTAACAAAAGGACTTGAACCTAATAAGCATGCATTGTACTGTGACAATTATTTTACGAGCTATAATCTTTTACAAATTCTCAACCAAAAATCAATACTTGTTGCTGGTACTGCGAGGATCATTAGATTTTCTAAACCACCTTTAACTGATGTAAAAGATTTTTCAAAAAACCAGAGAGGATCAACGGAACAAATTATCTCTTCTGATGGAATTGTAGTAACCAGATGGTTAGATAACAAGTCAGTGATAATGGTATCCAACTTCGTTGGGGTTGGTACAGAAGATGTTGTAAAACGTTGGAATAAACAAACAAAATGTTTCATTGACGTAAGTCGACCCGAAGTTATACAAAAGTATAATAAGTCCATGGGTGGCATAGATAAAACAGATGCTCTTATTGCGTTTTACAGAGTAAAAAACCGTTGCAGAAAGTGGACTGTTCGACTAATCTTCCATGCAGTTGACATGGCCCTAACAAATTCATGGTTAGAATATAAAAAAGATATGCATACTTTAGGAATTCCAAAAAAAGATATCATGGACCTTCTACACTTTAGGATGAAAGTTGGTGAAGCCCTCATAAAAGTCAACTCTTTCAATAACCGAAAACGGGGAAAGACCTTCAAGCGGTACATCTAGTCCAGTAGTAGCTGAAAAACGCCAAAACATTGAAATTGGACCTCTTACTGAGGTGCGATTAGATAACATTGGACATTTTCCAGAGCACCCTCAGCTACCTTTACCTTTAAGATGTAAAAACCCTGGTTGTATAGGAAAATCAAGATGGAAATGTCAGAAGTGCAATGTCCATTTGTGCCTTCAAAAGGAAAGAAATTGCTTTTTTATGTTTCATATGCGCTAGTTTTTTAGATTTGTTAAGTACTTTTGGGTACAAATGAACCCATAATAATTTTTTTTATGTATACATGCTATATTTTTATTAATGTCCAAAAAGTGTTATATGAACTGTTTTTAAGTACATTTTAACCAAAAAATATTTTTTCGTTCGCTGAAAAAAAAAGAGGTACTGAAAGGGTTAATTAACGAATGCTCGTTACACAATCTCTCACTCAAGGCAAAATTGCTGTCAATCAGGAAGGTTTTAACTTCTTTAACAGCTCTCATTTCAAAAGGCCTAGAAGCCACCTTACTTCCGTATAAAGAAGTAAAGACGAATGTATACTGCCCATGTCGTCGCACATCACTACAAACAGCTTTGCATTCAGTGGTCGTGATTTGATAAAATTAATTATCTTTACGGTTTCGTCCAAGACTACTTTTAAGGAAGGTGGCATTTTTTTACAGCGAGTCAATAGCGGTGGAAGATACAGTGGCTACTGCTGCGTTTCTTAGATTTTTCGTTTATTCTTGAAATGACCCCAGACGTTCTTTCAGTCATTGTCTTCGCGCAGTCTGTGCACAGATCGGTGTTGTTATTCCAGGGGATGCTATTCTCTGTGATAAAGCTTTCTAGTAATTTAAAAATTTCGGCACCAGTTGTGTTAGTTGTTAATGTTTTGTAAAAAAGTAGATTCTCTTTTATAAGACTCTAAGTGATGGTAACGCACAAATTCTATTAAAATTGCCAACTCATCTACATTTGTTGACTCATCTATCTGTAGTGAAAACTTGGTAGATTTTATTCGAAAAGTAAGATTGCTTTCACATCCTCTGCTAAGTCTCCGATGCGGCGCAAGGTTATATTATTTGACAAAGGTATCATGCTTACTAGTTTCTTGGCTTTATCGTCCAATATACATTCAATTATCTCCTTGATGCACGGCTTTATGAGATTTTCCGCGATGGTGTGAGCTTCACCTGTTTGATCAACGCAATAACTGACTAAGTAGGACGGCATCAAAGCATTTTCGTTAACTGGTTTTGAATGGTAGGAAGTAGTTTTTTGGGCATGTGTCAGTTCGCTGTGTTTCTTTCTGAAGAAATCATTGGGTTTTCCATTACAGCGATTCATTGCTGAACAACAAAAATAGGAATTTTTTTTGAATAACAAGTGGCGAATAACTGCAAATACTGCGCGAAACTAAACTGACACCGCATGAATCGAGTGACCGCACAAATGCACAATACAAGAATGAAACATGACTCACTTCCGTCCTTCGGTACACTTTGTTTGGAGTAGTAAGGAGAAGGTGGTCTTAAACCAGTTCAGAAGTGCCGTCTGACCGTGAAATGTCGCCGGTAGAATATTAGGAGCGCATGTCAAATCAGTATTTTAATTTTGAAACTCTTATAAATTTTTTTCTAATGTTTAACCGTTTATTATCGCCAAATTAGCGAAGTTTTTTTCTAATTTTAACCGTTTATTATCGCCATATAGCAGAGCACAGTTTGGTAAACGCTGATTTAGTATGTCTGTGAAGAAACAATTTGCACTAAGTGCTTTCTCTAGGTTTAATATGATACCGTAGTTACTTCTTCTACAGAAAAAACTGGACAGTCTATAATAATATATGCTTCAACAGTGCTCACATTTCGGTTCGGAATCTTTTGTAATAAAAACTTGTGTAGCACGGGTATGACCTAATCTAAGATGGGTTACAGTATAGTTGATCTCTTCTTTTGGTGGGGACACATCGCCAAGGCTTAATGTTTGGTTTAATATTCCTAAGATTAGAGACTGAAAATTAGAGATAATGTCTTTAAAATTGTTGACAGAAATATGGTCATCAGTAATTGAGTAAAAAATAAATAATACAGGAAAATAAATATTGAACTATTTATTTACTTTAAAAATTGTATATAACGATATTTTTGAAATATATAATAAATAACTTGGTCCTTCTTGCTAAACTAAAAAAATATTTGAAATAATAACTATGCAAATATCAGTGTAGTCGATAAGTTTAGAAATATTTTGAAATGGTGAAATATACTTAATACACATTTCCCACCGGACGGATGGTAAGCTCCGAAACCTAAAATAAACAATTAATTTTTTAGAATAATAAATATATTTACAAAAAGGGTAGGGTTAAATAAATTTACTTTAGTCTAACATATTTAGTACAATTTTTCGAATCCCATTTTTTGCAGCCACTTAATCTTAAAAACGCCTGTGGAAAGTACGTTACATTTAAAAATATTTATTGAACATTAATTTCATTATTTAGATCTGCTGCAGTCAGCTGCAGTCAAAAATTAATAACGAAAACCAACCACCATCTCGTTAACAATACTAAACTCATCCACGGACATATCTTATCTAGTCATCTCACATCAGGTCCTCTTTGGCTTTAATCTAGGCGTACTCTTTACAGAAACTTGAAACTAAGCTGTTCTTCGAGTTGGTTGGTTAACGTTTTAGGATTGAACGTATTCAGGATGGATCAATATTAGTATAAATTTAAAATCGCGACATAATTTCGCTAAATGTTCCAACACACTGTATGGGTACGCCATATCTACCTCCTGTTATAATAACTCAATAAACCAAACCTTCACCCAACTCTGCACATAAATACACAGACAACACTCACATGCACTTCGATGACTACATTATAATGCGCTCCCTAACTTTCGCGTGATTGGTTGGTGGGTGGGTCCCAATTTAAAAATTGGCGGGTTTCATGTTTATTAAAATGACAATAAAATTGAGGTATTGTGGCACAGTGTATCGCTAAACAATTTATTAGCAATATATTGTGGTATTGGTACAAAGCGGATGATATTCACATTTTAGGATTAAGCTGACTAGTACAGTTTTATTAGAAATTAAAATTTATTTTTTTTTGACATTATGTAGGTAAAATTAAATTCTGACATTGTGTTTATTTAATTTTGATATGCTAGTGATGCTTTTTTTATTAGATATATAGATATTGTTTTAATTTTTTTGTTTAGGTAATTTTTTATTAAGATTTAGAGGTTCCTCTTATTATTTTGATTTCTAGAACATTCGTTACCATTATTATTCTCATTAGCTTTCTCTATGTGGAATCGGCTTCTCTAAGTATTTTTCTCTAAACTTTTCGGTTCTCTTCCAGGGACTAAGTACCTCTCCGCTTTTTGTATGAGATTATGGTTTTTCAGAAACATGTAATTTCTGTTCATCCCCTTTTTTACTGCCCTACATTCAGTACCATACATCATAGCTGGTCTAAAGGCAGTCCTATACAATTTAGGAGAGCTTTAGAGGGGTTTTCCTTCGCCATTGCACCAATAACGGCCCCCCCTCCTTTGATTTCCCAGATTTTTAATAAAGAATAAAGATATTTTAGATATAGCTATTTAGTGTTTTATTTGGTTTGCAATCGTTATTTCCAGTAAACCTCTGCTTCATTTTGTTGACAATGACAATTTTTCATAGCACTCAATTCACAATATTATATCTTTTTATTATCCTACATTTGTGGTAAAATCTAACAGAATTCAGTGTAAGGTTCTAAAAATGAAAATGGATAAATGTCAATTTGGATTTAGGCAAGGCAGGTCTACAACAAGCAATTTTTATTAAAAGAGCTAATTTAACAATTTAGAGTGAATTTACATTGTATATTAAACTTGAGAAAGCACATGATGAAGATATCAGAAACCTACTGTGGCAGAGATTAAGTAGGAAAGGAGTGCCGGCTGAATATGTGAGTGGAGTATGAGCAAGTAACAACTATAATAGTGTTAAAACAACTATTATAGTGTTGGAACGATTACAGGTAAAACTGGCAAATTTTGTGTAAAAAATGGGTGAAAATCAGTGTTTCGCCCATATTTATTCTCATTTGTGCTGGATTAGATAACAACTGAACCTCCTGGGTATTAGTAGAAAAGAGTAGCGGAGACAAGTCCTTGAAGAAAAATGATTAAAATTAAGTTGGATACAAACAAAATATTTAGAATATTCTTTTCAAGATGAAATTTCAAGACCAGATAGAGTAGTTGGCTTGGATAGACAAGAACTCATAAAAGATGATAATGTTTGGCTTTTAGGATTGGTATTACCGTTTTATCTCTAATATTTTAATTAAAGGTAATGGACCCCAGTTCACAGCTAAGGCTTTTCGCGATCTCATGGCTAAATACAATGTACAAAAGATCTGGTACAATGCGAACTATCATCCACAAGCCAATCATACCGAAAGAGTGAATAAATCAATCGTGACTGCTTTAAGGTCATATTCTTTTCCTGATCAGAGAGCTTGGGATACTCACATCCACTCTATAGCACAAGCGATCAGGACCTCTTCTCACGAAATAACCAAGTGTCCTCCATCTTATTTGATGTTTGGTCGTCATGTCCCTCTTTCTGGTGATTATTTTGGTAAGATTTCAGAGAATGCCAATAACTTTCCCACTATATCAGATAAATTACACCGTTTAGAAGATATTCAGCATCTTCCTGATATTTATGTGGATGTTCGCAAACGGTTGAAAGCATCTTATGCTAGAAATAAATGCCAGTATGACCTGAGAAAGCGAGCCTTATCTTTCAGAGTTGGAGATTCTGTTTTAAAGAGGAACTTTGTCAAGTCTGATAAATTGAACTTCCAATCTGCTAAGTTATGTCAGAAGTACATACCTTGTACGGTTATTAAAGTTATTTCTCCTTTAATATACGAGCTGAAGGAAACTTCTACTGGTAGGAAACTAGGAAGGTTTCATGTTAAAGACTTACTGGAGGACAAGACAGTAGGCCCACATAACTTGTCAGATAATTTGGATTCTTCATCTTCTGATGAAGATTAACTGGTCCCTTATCAATGCTGTACCAGTTTGGTTGTTTAAGATCTGATTATCTATTTTGTTTACCTGGCAAAAAACCATAAGTTGTGTTATTTTGCCTTCTATTTTTTTTTATCTTATCTTAATGTTGGTTATTATCTTAGTTTATGGACTTGCTAATTTTGTTGTTTGTTTTCTCTCAAAAGTCCAACTGCATATCATAGGAGTACAGGATGGATATATGGAATTTCCCCATCTTGAGTTCTGAGTTGAATAGATATTTACAGGGATAATTAGGGAAACATTCCAAATATTTTCTTTAATAGTGTTGTATGGTTTTGTGGACCATGGCCATAAAGCGTATGCATTCATATTCACTTACTGTGTCGGTGTTTTAGCGTGGGTTCAGGATTGATCACCCTGGATGTGTGCCCTCACCTGGCTCAGAAATATATCAATACATATTAGTTGTTCCTTGAGTGTCTCTTAGGTTGAAATTAGAATGTGTCATTTAGAATTGGATCGTTCTGATATTCAGCAGTATGTAAGTCTGTTTAACTTGGTTTGTTATCTCCTATGTTATTACCTTCTCAAAGTATTTGAGTTTTAACATATCTTATGTATACGTTTGTTTGACCTGTCTCCCTACTATTCATATGGATTGGTAGATGTGAGTTATCTTTATCTGTATCTTAATTGAGTTTATCTTTACCTTGATGGAGTTTATCTCATACCTGTAATGGAGTTTATTTCGCATCTTTACCTTGAGTTTATTCGTACCTTTTACCTTGAGTTTATCTCGTACCTTGACTGAGTTTATCTCGTACCTTTACCTTGAGTGTATCTTTATCTTTACCTTAATTGAGTTTATCTCGTACCTTTACCTTAATTGGTTTATCTCATACCTTACCTTAAGTTAGTTATCTTTACCTTTACCTGGATAAGTTTATTTCTTATCTATATCTTATGAATATATATCTTATCTTTATCTTATTATAGAGTCCTAAAAATCTGTCCTTTACTGTTCTTGTCGTGAGTAAAGAATTGGAACACGTCAATAGTACAGTTTAGGTATTACAGTTAGGATCTCTTTTATCTTTCCTTCTACCAAGTGTATAGCTGGTAGAAGTGAGTTTTGTGCATATCCTCTACCATGAGTAGATCTGGACGTGCAATTATCTTTTACCTTTTGTGCATATCCTTTACTATGAGTTGGGATTGCAGTTATCTTACTTACCTTTTTTTAGCATACCCTATACCATGAGTATAGTGGGCTTGCTAGTATCTAGGCACTAGGCAACTTTACCGATTGTGTGTTTTCCTACCGCTGCTACAGCAAGTAGGTGTATTGCATTATCTTTTACCTTGTTGTTGATATCCCGAACCATATATATGTTTAGGTTTGTAGTTTCAACTAGTCCTGAGTAATTAGGCCCTCATTGAACTCTATGGTGACGAATAGAATCTGGTCGCTCTAGTGTCAACGTTGGGTAAAGTTCATAGGACTTTGTTTGAATTTCGTTGTTATGAATGGTTCTTGGAGATATTGTGTTAGGGGTTGTTAATACACATCTATAATGTAGTTTTAACGAATGGTTGTTTTTACACATACTTGAGAATGTAGATAAGTAGTGTTAAAAGTTAACTTGATCTGTAAGGTTATAGAATTAAACTTAAAATGTATACCTTTTATTTTTTTTTATCTTTGGTTTATACTAAATTAACATACATTATCGCATTAAAAAAAAATGTATGACTTTGTCTCATATTCTTCGTTCCATATTTTTATTTCGTCCTTGATTTCGTTCCAATTCCTGAGCAAATGGTTGACTGGTGAGGAAAATGTTCAATTTTAACGTATCAACGTTCATTGTCGACCCAGCGTTAGATCGTTCTGCCACAAAAAAAAAAAAAAAAAAAAAGTTCCTTTTTTTTTGCTGGAGATGAGGGAGAATGTAGCGTTTACGCTACTGACTAGTCCAATTTAAACCCCTCAAGAAATTTTTATTACCGCCTACGATCGATTTTAAATCGACATTTTTCCCACACACGCGCAGTAGTCGCTTAAAAAGGAGGATGATCGATTTTGTGCGGAAGCGGAAGCGATTAGTTTTGGTCAGAACTCTACGCAGCCACGTCAACCGGTGAAATTTTTCACCTTCAAAGTGACGGAATTGGAGCAAGGAAGATAATTTGGGAAGAATAATAATTCATAAATAAATAATATATAATAAGTAATTATTTCTAATAAAATCAATAT